AGACACAAAATGTGTGTATGCCAGAGGACTGAAACAAACAAAAGACTTTAGGAACTGGAGCTTCCAAGTGGTTAATTTTGAGCTAAGCTTAAAAATGAGGATTCTATGGTAATTTATTTAAATGTTACATTTATATTTATGTATGATAAGCTAAGTGATATCTAAATGCTAAGCAAAGAGCTTGAAGAAAAAATGATTACAATCAGTAATTTTCATACTGTTGGAGTAATACCTTGGCTTAGTAATGCTCTCACTTAAAACTAATGGGGTCAATATATATTTCTAGAAACAATCCACAGTAGCTCCTAAATTATGTTTATGCTTCCTAGCACTGCTGAAATTAATGGTCTTGTAAAATTCCTATTATAGGAATATATTTTCAAGTATTAAAGACTCTGCCATAAATTATTTTACATAAATAATTATTTTAAAAATCAATGACTATTTTAAACTTTTAGAACTAAAAAAAAGACTTTTTAAAAAGTTGCTTTGGAGGTGATTTATGAAAAAAGTCACCCTTCTTTATATTACAATAATTTTTAAAGGACTGTCTATCCTATTAAAATTTTTAATTTAATTTTACAGGCTGTTACTCTATAAATAGAACAATCCATTTTAAATGGACAAGACGAAGTAAATAAATGACATTATTAGTGTTGCTACTAACAAGTTTTGAACTATGCATATTTATAAATAAATAGAACCAAACCAAAGAAGATACAAATCTAAGGGCAAGTGAATATTAGGGTGGCATGCCTATTATTTCCTTAGTTCAAAGTGTAAATGTATCAAAATAATTGAGGGATATTGACATCTTTTTGTACTATTTGTAAAAATACACTGATAGATAATTAATTTAATTTTGAAAAAGTCAGCAGTGATATTATATAGAAATTCTTATATTTAAGGTTGTTCCTCTTATAATATTCTAAATTATGGACTGGAAACTAATGCTCACCTCAGATGTCAAAAGAAATTGATAGATCAGTTCAGACCCCAAGCAACTGTATTTCAAAACAAGGATGAGTGTCCTTACAGAACAGAAAAAAGAAATATTATTTCCTCTCATTGTTATTACTTTGTTGACACTTGGCTACAGATGCCGCAACATTCAGGAAGTTATTTCTTTGAGAGGTGGCTACAAATTCCCAACAGTGGTTTAAAACTTTTCAACTCCTGAAGTAGTTTCATTTAAAAAAATGTACGGTAGGTTGTGTCTACCTCACTGAACCTACTCGTTAAATTTGTCCATTTTCCTTGTAGAACTCTTAAAAAAATCTGAGTCCTTTGCCAAGAATTTATATTTTAGTGGTAGTTTTAGGTCTATCTGGCCTGGTACAAGAAAGGTGAACAATAATAAAACAAGTACACAAACACAAGCAAAGGTTTAAACTAAGCAACTTGAGCTCCTATGCTGATTAAAACATTTAACTTACCACATCTTTGCTCATTGCTAAACTGGAGCAGGGCCTAACAAAACAGGGAAAGATTACAGGGGCCTACCCAGAATGTCTTACATCTGTAAGAACCCTCCTTCTGCCTTGCTACTGGGAATCTCTGCAAAGAACTCAGCAGGTAATGATGAACTGCAGTATTTTAGACATAGGGAGAAAGCTGTGATATAGACACACACACACACACACACACACACACACACACACACACACTCAGATATACACACAAACACACATGCATACAGTTAAACTGAAAAACAATCATTTGATTTTTGAACAATCATACAAAACGCTTTGTCTGTCATAGAACTTCAAATTATAAAATAGAATTGCAATTTTTATGTTTTGTGTATCAGTTAAAAATAAACTTAAATAAATAAATTTAAAAATCACATCATGGTGTGTGTGTGTGTGTGTGTGTGCACGCATATATCAGCTGCTTTTCCAACCATTTTCAACATTCTGAGGTCCCAGTGTTGTACATATTTTCATGTTTACTGTCATCCCCAGTCTACCCCTCAAATATTTAACCCAATAATTTGCCCACTGTAAGCCATTAATACATGTCTGAAAAAGAATTGAAATTACTTAAAAACCAGATTCTTGTATTTTGGTTAGAAATCATTATACCAGATAAGAATTAAAGAGGTTTTCCAGGCCAGATTTGCTCGGAACCTCTTACTCTGCGGCTTTCTCTAATACTCCCTTGCTTTTTTACCCCTAGACTTTGGGCATTGCTTTGGGACCAGCTCAGTGCCGCTGTCTGACCAAAAGCATCAGAGATCAGCCCCTCACTAGTGCTCTCAGTGTCATTTTACAACACCCTTGACTGTTGTCTTCATTATCACCTTGGTTGAACCGAGAAATACCTCAGAATTTAGTAGCGCGAGCTTCTGAGTGTGTTTGACGGTCTTTCCAGGATGACCAGGATGTGGGACAGAAACTGGTGGAGACCTGACGTGACAGGTGGGCGAGAGCCCAGCGTCAGCAACGGTGGAAGAATGAGACCTATTACTCACCCCGTTCCTCCTTCTCTCTACCTAGAGGAGAGCTGCTTTGCTCCACCACGCGTTCCATGGGCCCACAAACATCAAAGCTAAGTGACCATAGGTTTCTCTCTTTTTTCCTAAAGCCTCTCAGCCTTTCATATTCCTTAATAATGTTCACATTCAGCTGAGGTTGTTCTTCTCTATCTTATTACCTGCAGGCATCCCACATATTTTAATGGACTCCCCAATAACCTGCGCATCTCTCTCACTTCTACGTCCATTTTGTTTTTTTCCACAACCCACTCTCTTCATTTAAAACTACTTGAACTTGATGTTTGCCCAAAACACTTCACCTTCCACGTTCTGAGGCTCCAAGAGTTTTTATGCTGTGCATCCAGAATTACATGCTAACTGCTTTTGTCAAGAAAAAATTCCAAAAGCACGTGGACTAAAACACATGTACTTGGGTCTATTTTCTTTGGTCCATTTAATGTGTATTATTCAAAACAATGTTTATAATATTTAACATCAAGAAAGTTCAGATGAGAATCAAGAACTCTAGTTTTTGTTGAAGGAGTGAAAAAGTTAGCAGTATTGCCTCATACTCCTGTATGAATCATTAGGAAATAGCTGAGTAGCATCTGTTTATTTTTCAAATGGGACCACAGACCCCATTTGAAATGATCACCCTTTGCAACTTTCCTTAACACTTAAATCATACGATTTTGCTCCTGAACATCATCACTCATAGGAATGTTAGTATTTTCTGAACCCATGACTTAAAATTTAATTCTTATTCCTCAGCACCTACCCCTTATCTTATGAAACCTCACCCAACCCATGGTCAGAACCCTCTTTTTTCTGTGTCTTCTCCTTAACCACAAACACTTAATCAGAAACTTAGGGAATTGCATTGATTGAGCCCACAAGATAGTTTACTGTCTGCTTTGAGATAATCACTTGGTGCCTATCACATCACACTAGGACAACTTTATTTATTTTTCAAATTGGTTGAAGATAGGAAGTTCAACAACTTATACCTCTGTGGCTTCAGTGTTTACATTGTCTGAGTATGGCCCACTCACTTAACTACTTATTCAAAGTTTGCTGTCAATGATAATTTTAAAGAATCTGATTGTTGGGCCACGTGTGGTGGTGCACACCTGTGATCCCAGCACTCTGAAAGGCTGAGGTAGTAGAACTACAAAGTTGAGGCCAGACTAGACTATAGATAAACTCTGTCTCAAAAACAATACACACACACACACACAGGAGGGAGGGAGGGAGAGAGAGAGAATAAAGACTCTGACTGTTTTGAATATTGTAAATAGAATAGCTAAATTTAGAAACTGTGGAATTACTTATATTCCTCCTTTTGTAATATTATTTAGTTTTTGGCCTCAACTTTGGGTGTGTGAAAGTCTGATACAAAAATTGAAAGGACAGGTGACAAGTACAATGCATCATACCTTTTCTAAGAGGGCACTAGGATTAAAATCTCTTTACTAGATTTTATACAAACATCTCAGAACAACCGAGACCGAGGGACGCTGTGAAATTTTGTTCGGGGCACAACTGGGGGAGATAAAAGGGAAGAAGCTTCAATTTTCTGCAGCCTGTGCCCTTCTTTCAAACCAGGGCTTTCAGCCCTGTAAACTGCTATCCTGTGTACTGCCTTCCACAAAGATTTGAAATTCATCAAACAGACAAAGTGTACATTTAATACTCACATGAGGGAATACAGAATGCCTTTCAATACATCAAACTCCTAAACCTTTTACATCCTTCATTTTTAAGCTACATGGATTTTGATTTGTACAATTTTAAAAATATTCTGAAGCCTAGTCAATCTAACAGTAAAAAGCACTGTTGCACAGTAAGAAATCAAGAAATACAATTCAGCAAACCTGGTATAGTTGGTCCCCAGGGAGGCTTTGTTCCAATTCGGTTTGTCATAGCTCAGATCCATCATGTCATGCTAGCCTAACTTACTACTACTGTCTTTCATTTTCCCCCCCTTTTTGGCACACTCCAACTATTTTCTGTTAAACTAGTGCTGTCACAAGAAAACACATAAAAATGCTCTTTTGCAAACACACTGTTTGATTCTTTCCTGAACTCTCCGGAGCTACGGATTTCTCTCACTGTCTTCATCAGGGGTGAATGCTGACGGATCACTGAACCTTACTGCTGGTGGTGACAGGCGTGATGCTGTTTTGTGCAAGGTGGAAAAAATAATAATAAAAAGGGTTTCTGTGCCTTGCATCTAGAAGGTCCCTCACTCAACAACAAAGGCTTATGTTCAAAGATGATTAGCTTAGAGGCATCTCAGTGATTTCTGATTGTAGCAGCAGTTGGGTGTCTTGCTACTGGGTGAAATATGTATTCCCCCGAGAACAAAGGCAGCAGCAGTCCTCTTCTGCTGAGATGGCACCTTTAATAATTCCATGTATTTATCAGTATTTGTGTCAAGATCTTAGGGATTTTGCCCTTCAGGTGAAAATAAGAGTAGATGGCGTGGACAGGGTCTTAAACAGTCCTCTAAGGTATCTGTAGAGAGAAAAAAATGTCCCAAGGTATGTGAGGGAATGAATAGAAAATATTCCTTTGGATGAAAATGTACACAGCACAGAAAAATACCTCCAAGGTTTCTACAGAGAAGAGTGAATAGCCCTTAGGTTGTTCAGAGAGCCCCAAGATGAGCAATTGCTCAAAAAAATTGGACAGCACTATTTTTTCAAGTTTCAATCAAGTAAATCTAAAGAAGCAGATCTTTTAGAAAGTTAAAACTTAAAAAGTAAAGTTATTTTTCTTTTCAAATAAAATCTACAGGCTCTGCCTGTGCTGTTGCCATGGATTTTTCCTGCATGATAATTCCACGTATTCTGCATGTGATTCCAAAAGAAAAATGGTCAGTTGCACGAGGAGGTTAGGGTGCGCAGAAGACTTAACTGAGGATGCGTACATAGGAGTGGTGTCCTCCCTGTAGCCGGTGGCCCAGAATGACACCTGTCACCATCTGAGGCCGGTTTGTGTACTGCTCAATCATGGGGCATTTTTTTCCCATGTGATTTGCACTGAGTCCGGTTCTTTGCGTTTCTCATCAGATGCAAAGAGCCCTCGTGTGCTGTGTGCAAGGACGCAAGAGCTGCAGAGCTGTCAGGGGACACCAGGGACTTGAGGATGTAAGTTTTCCAATGAAAACTTTGGTAGAACCTCTGAAGGTGGCAAAACCAGAAAATCAGTCTGATGAAGTGGAGCTTCATCAGAAGCTTAGGATCCTTCACTTGGCAAAGAAGGCACACAGACTTAAGGGTAAGTAAATTCTGGAAGTCATTTTCTCCTAGAGACACAAGCAGAGCAAAAATCTCAGACATTTCTCGAACTCAGACCAGAAGTCCATGGGAGTTCATCCTGTCTTTATCTTTTGTTCTGGAAGTGAATTTTCAAGGACATATCTGGACAATTTCGAGGACCTACTTTCATGGTGAGAGGTGGATGTCATACAGCACAATTTCAAGGACACAATGAATTCAAACAAAAGACAGGAAAAAGGAAGAAATTACCTGCCATTAAGAAAACTATAAGGACTATAAGGATGGATAATAAGATTAGGTGCAGTTTCTCACAGTGTCATTTTTTGGCTTGTTTCATTGAAACCAAAAGCAGATGTCCTTCTAGTGAGTTATATAAGTTACACTTAAAAATTATGTGTGTGTGTGTGTGTATATATATATATATATATATATATATATATACATTTATATATATACCAGCATTAGACAAAAAGCAAACTATATAAACATACATGACCAGGTATCTACAGTAATCAGAAGTGGAATTTGTGGTACAAGTACCAAAAGTATTATCTCGGTTACTTTTCTCTCATTGCTGGGACAAAATACCTGATTCCCAAAATGAAGGAAGGAAAGGTTTATTTTGCTTACAGTTTGTGGAGGTTTCAGTCCATACTTGGCAGATTACAAGGCAGACTGGCACATGGCAGAGGGCTACAGCTCCTGGCACAGAACACAGCCAAAGCAACAAACACCCACAAGGGCGGAATGGCCTCAAGCACCCTCTTCCTCTCCCTTACATATGGAAACTATCCACCCACACGGTGGGTGTAGCTCTCACACCCATAATCAACCAAACCCTAAAAGCCTGCCCCGAGACCTAATGAGGCTTTGGGGGGACACCCAAACACAAACCATAACAAGTATACATTTGTTTAATTTATTATTTTACTTTCAAAAGCTTGGGTCAATGGTGCTGGGAATATAGCTTAGTGACTGTATGTACTTAACATGCATGAGGCCCTGGATTAAATCCTCAGCGGCAACAATGAATTCTTCCCATAGAGCTGTGGACTCCTAATGTGCACTCACAGTTCAGGACATACTGTATATACCTGATGATACATTTGTAACAACTTAAAAATGAAATACGACTACTTATATTTTCCTATCTATCCATTTCTGTCACGTTAAAATCTTTCATTCCTTTATGATTATCCAGATTCCACTTTTCTTCTCTTATTTTCTTTTCAAAGCCATGCCAATATTAGTTCTATAGGAACTCATTACCACATATATCAGGTGTGTACACTCACACGCAGACACACAAATATGAAGATGATTTCATGTTATATTTATGCCCTGCTCAGATAAAGGTGGGAGTTCAACACTGTCAAATTAAAAAGCTAAAATTATCACATTTCTGTTGCCCTCATGTACATATATAAGACCGATTCACTCAGAAGTTGACCTAACACAGTGCGCTTTCTTAGACAACTAAATGTTGGCATCAAGAAAACCAGAGCTTCGAGCTTTAGTTCCATCAATTTTTCTTGGCTGCGTGATGATGAGGATGACCATTCACTGGTTTCAGATTCTTGTTGTCATTAAAGCTGTAATATCACCACTTTTTACTAAAGGGTGTTATGTGAGTTAAATGTTATACTACATAAGAAAGCACTTTGTAAATTCAAATACATTCAGCAAGTGTAAATGAGAAAGATTAAATCACAACGCTGAGATTTTATTCAAAAAAGTTATGGGATATTTGGAGTAGACATTGTTTTCTTTCAAAATTTTGTGCATCATGAATTTTCATTTCAAATTTCAGAGGATTTTCACTAAAGTCAACATTTAAAAATATTGTATCCATGGAAAATTATTTTATCCACACTTAAAGGGTATATAATGGTTTGATGTTTCAGTTTTCATGACAACTTAAATCTTGCTCAAACACACCGAAGATAGAGTTTTATTAAGACTGGCAAGAATGATACCAACATATATCCATGGACTGATTCCAGCTATTTGGAATACGCAGATCTCACTCTAAATATAGTTTTCTGTAGTCTTCTGAAATGCTAATGCTGAAATCAGAAGTACAAAAACACTGATATTATTTTGATATGAATTTAGTCTCTCAATTTAAAGAAATATGCATTTTTCCTCATAAAATATTAAAAATTATATAATTCAAATAATAAACACATATAAGTCCATGGCAACTCAAAATACTCAGGAGCCTTTATGTTACAGTATCCCATAAACATAATTTTCATTTTTATCCTTATGATATTTTTAATTAAACCAATTTTCCTCTTCTTCTAATTAAAGAAAGTATTGAAAGGTAAAGGAGTATTTCTATAGCAAACATTCACAAAATTCAGTTTTTCCTGTCACTCAACTAATTTCTAGTTAACATGAATTTTGAACTGATGCTTTAGTGTTTTTATATAATCTTAACAAGATTTTCATGTGCTTGTATTTTTGATTTCCTTTATTTAAAAATACTCCTTGCAGCAAGAAAGTTTTGAATTTTTTAAGTTTTATAGTTCTTTAATTTTCTCAGTGAGTACTGTGTTAAAAATAAAAATCTCAAGTGTAGAGATATTAATATTTTATTTTGTGTAAGTAACTACTCAACTGAATCTGTGTGCACTTAATTTTATTTGTACAGGTCTTTTTGATATCTTAAGAGATCTCCTCACAGGATTGCCTCATATCGTCAGCATAGTGTATACCTCTGTCTCGGTATTTAAAAATCTAATTTGAGAAGTTTGGAATATTTGTTCCCCACTGTTCATGACAATAACTGCATTTATTAATCCAAATATATATTTTCCCTAAAGTATAGAAGGAAGGTAAGAATTAGAGACATGTGGACAATATATTCACTAAAATTAACACTGTTGGGCTGGAGATTTATTTTTCATGACTTGAAAAATGTTAAAGGAGAGGAATATAACCTGAGAATAATTTTGGAAAGGCCAGGATAATTTCCTCTAGTTCCTGGCTAATTTTCTACACTAATTAGAATGTGTGATTTTAAATTTCAGAGTTATGACTCAATGCTAGTTATCTTACCCATGAAATTAATTTAGAATATTTTTTCTAGCATACTATTTAAGTGATCCAAAATTTTGGAATGGATAGAAAGTTCCACTCTGTGGAATAACCTATGTGAGCTTTACAGTCTTCTTAACCAAGAGGCCCTATATCCTTGTTATTTTTCACTTACGTATTTTTTTCCAATTACTTTTCAGGTGAGTTACTCCATAGTCACAAATTGACAACCTTAGAATAGACACGGCCAAACAAAAACTTTCTCTTATTTCCAGAAAGTTGCATTTCATTTAACACTCAATGATGTTTAATCATATTGGTATATTTCACCACAAAATTGAGATTTCTATTTTCCTTCGAAAAATAGACCTGGTGAAATGAAGGCTGCTTTTCTACCTGAAATAGTTGAGTCCCTTTTTTCATGACTGGGACACAGTACTCCACACCTGCAGTTTAAACTAGGAGAGGTTTATTTCTGCTCATGGCTTCAGAAGTTCCAGTCCATGGTTGGCAAGCTGAAGCACAGAGGAAGCATGGTGGAATGGTCTCTCCCAGACGAAAGATGTTCACATCACTGGTCCAGAACGCAGAAAGAGAAAGGAGGAGCCGCAGAGGGAGAGACACCATTCTCGGTCACGATCCCAGTTACTGGCCTTTCCCAATCAGGTCCCACTTCCCAAGAGCACACCAAATCACTGTACTCAGTAGTAAATGAAACCACCTGTAAATACAGCACCCTCGTGACGCAAAAACCTTCCAAAACCCCACCTCTGAGCACATGCGAGTTTTAGGGATCATTCCTAATGCAAACCACGGCAATAACCACTAGGTGATGCTGAGTAACAAGGAGGCAAGTGTGTCTGGTCTCTGCAGCTTCAGCTGACCCATAGAACTCGGGGATGTCAACTCCTGAATTGCCCTGTTTAGAAGATTCAGGCACGTGTGATTGGAAATGTATGCCATTTATTCCTTGAAAATCAAAAGTATCAGGGAAAGGTTGTGGGGGAGGGTAAAGGAGAAGATTAAGCATATTTGTTTTGAAGAGCGGGTGAATCGTCACAGTAGAAATGGCCAGTGAACAGTTGGAAATAAATGGCTGGTGCTTACATGAGAGGAAAAGACCGGCAACAGCGATTTGAGAATCATTCAAGTAGAGGCATAGCTAAAGCCATGAAAATGGATGAGTTTCTCAACAGAGAAATTAGATAGCAAGAAGAATAAAAGACGAACAGCTAAATACAAGAAAATATTCAATGTTTTTATTCAGGGAGAGCAAAAGGATTTAAACAGAAAGAAAATTGGAAAGAAAAAGTGCTAACATCTACCTTAATACTGGTTCACGTTTACTGTCACTTTTTAATGTGAGAGAAGAGAAATACTTACAGAAAATTAATGTAGAATGATTGAAGATTGACTATTACATCAGGTAAAAACAAAATACATTGGTGCCTTTGGCCAAAAGTACAGCAAAGCTCATTTTAGTACTTTACTTGAATCCTGACTTGCAACAAAGGTTGACAGCACCAAACACAGTAAGCAGAAAACCAGAAGTATTATACATGTGGTGTATGCAATAGAACAAGTAGAGACCCGGACATTTCACTTCTTTGTAAAATTAATATCTTAAATATCTAAACTAATTTTTTGCCTTTCTTCGAACTGTCGAATACAGGTCAGTCTCCTCAATTTCAAAGGTATCACTTATATTTTTAAAGAATAGGGGAAAGTTTCTTACTCATTCTTTAAACGTTTACTTCCTCCTGTTGCTGGTTTCAAACTAAATGGTGTCTATTGAGGAAAGAGGTAAGAACAGAGCCGTGTGAGATTATCGATCTCTTGCCTTGTGAAGTTTCACCAGTCCTTGCAAAAATGTATAAGTTTGCTGCAGGGCAAAATTGGATCATTTTAGACAGGGATTGAACATTTTGCCTTGAAAAATGTTAGTGCAAAACCTCCTGAGGGGGGAAATCACAAATTGTCAAACCATTTGGGCATAGAAAGTCATCAACTTTATGTGGTGAGTGGCAATTTATACTTTATGCTTAGCTTTCATGGAAAACAATGACAAATTTAGAATCAATACTCCTGAATGATCTGCTCCCAACAAGGACTGATTGCTTTCCTTGGATTGTGTTGACGGGTAGGCTGGACTGTAATACTAGCAGCAAACAGCAGGAGGAAGCACAGTGTGACTTACAAAGTGGAGGGGAAAGAAAAAGACAGGAATACACTTCTGAAGGATTTGCTGTGGTGGAAACAGAACTGGTTTTGAAGACAGAGCTGGGTTCAAATTCAGGCTCCACTGTTGATTACATTTGTGAAATCTGGCAAGTCAATCATCCTCTCTGAGTCCTGCTTTTCTCATATTTAAAATGAGGGAATTAATATTTACCTGGCAAGAATGATGTAATGTGACAGACAAATACATGCCTTTTATAGGGAGCTTCTGTCATTATTTTTACATCATTAAAGTCATTGCTATTAAGGCAACAGAAGATCTTTTACAGGAGGACAGATTCTGTAGATAGAGACTTTGGGAAATCAAAATGTACATAAATCATTGATGATATAATTGTCACACTTAGAGATTTGTTTACAGGTTCAGGAGGACTGAAAACACAAATTTTAAGAAATAAATCTTATGTTACTAAATCTAAAATCTGCTAAAAGAACTTTTTTGTAATAGATGGTAACCTTATTGGACTACATCTACAAGAAGTTCATTTAGTCTGAACTGAAGAGAGTTACAAAAGCTTATGAATACTGTTTTCTTTTTTTTTTTTTTTTTTTTTTTTTTTTTTTTTTCTGGTACCGGGAATTGAACTGATGACTTTGCATTTTCCAGGTAGGCACTGTGCCACTGAGCTAAATCCCCAGCCCCTGAATACTGTTTTCACAGATTTTAAAAACATTTTTGTCTAGGTAACACTTATGCACAGTTCAGCAATCAAAAACCATAAAAAAGAATAAAGTGAGAGCGTTTTATTTTTCTTTTATCTCGGTAGTAGCATATTTTAGATGGAAACAAGAATATTTGGGTCCATTATTAACTGGTTTGGAGACTGTGGTATTTGTTATGCAGAGATATTTTAAGAAAGGATAGTATCCCATGGGTGACTACTGGTTGTTTTATTTCCATAACAATGCACCACCATTAATAGTCGGCCAATGTGAAGAGCATCTGCTGCTGTATTACAGTGTTCAAGCATTCAGTTCTCAGGCCCATTTCCGGTGGTACAGAGGCCATGATTTGTCAGTTTCTCTCTTCTTTTATGTCTTGCTCCCTTTTAGCTACTGCTTCCTCCACGAAGTATCTGTGAGCCACATGCAACATGTCTCTATTTTTAAGCAAATGTTCTTAATGCAAATAGCTCTTAATAATGAGTTATATCTTGCCCCAGTGCTGTGTTTCATTCTTATGTTTTCTTGTTTTTGTTTTTGTTTTAATCTTGACTAACTGCTTAAAATTTTCCATGTAAAAGTCTTCATCTAAGCTCTAGGTCTTTTTTACATGTTGTAGGTTAGTGATGTCACATGATTATTGTTCTTTCTATGTGGTTTGCTCTAGTTCTGAGCCTGACTTTTATCACTTATCAGTTATATGACTTTGGGCGAGTGATTAGGAATCTCCAGCTATTATTTTCCTGACATGCAAAATATGTACAATGATTGTATGAGTGTTATTTTAAAAATAAAATCAATAAGTAAAATATGTCCAGAGTATTGTAAGTATAACATATCTATTTTACTAATTAGTTGTACAAATTGTTTAACAAATATATCTAAGCTATTCTTTCTTCTAGCCCAAAGTGAGGTTTTTCATTTTTCATTTGTCATCTCTTTGAGTTTACAGTATGGATTCCTTTTAATAAACTGTCATTTATTCTTTCACTTTATACGGCAGGTGGGACAGGTGGTGATATAGCTGTTAAGGACACGTTTGAATTTCAAAATCATGTGTCCTCCTCCTCCAAACCACTCAGCAAATTCTGGAAGAGTAACTTAAGCTCACCTTAAGCTTAGGTTAATACTGCTATGTCTCTTGGTTAAGACTGCTTCAAAAGAAGGCACCATAAGCAGGTAATGCCTCCTGAAAGAATGAAGTGGGCAACAGTAGGAAAAACCATGTTAGCATGAAAGGAAAATGTTTCTGCACTCTCCCAGACCATGTCCTTCTTTACCTACCTGCATGTCTAGCTTCTACTGAGGGTGTGAAAATTCACGATCAATAGGAGCAAAATGCATAATAGATGTTGTGAAATAGGAAGAAAATGTTCAAACTGGAAGGAGAACTAGGGAAAGTGGAGGGGGCGACGAAGGAAGGGAAAAGAAAAATGTGATGAGAAAAGAAGGAATAAATGGAAACAAGGGTTTTGTAAATAAGGAGGGAAAAGCTGCATTGAAGGGAAGGTAGGGGATGGGAAAATAAAGAATCAAGTTGCACAATGCATAGGCACAAATTCCCATGATGAATGTGATTGGTGTGTATGTCTAAAACGTACCAATAAATGTAATTAATTAAAAAGGGAAGGAACATACATGTCAGTGGATTGTGTTGCCACATCTAAAAAAAATACTCTTACTGCTACTTACTGTTTCTCCATGTAACATTCTGACCTAAACCTGACCTGGCCCTTAGTGTCACTGTGCTTTGGGTAGGGCTAAAGACTTTTCCCCTAACCACACATACCAGCCCCACAACCCCGCACCCTTTCTTGGTTGTTCTGCTGAGCTATTCCGTTCACGGTAGCTGGCAGTTTAAGAAAGTTTGGTATTAGTTGCTGAATAAAACCTGATCCCATTCTTCTCATTTTCCTTTAGAACTAAACCATGAGGAAAATCAGAAATCTTAGCCCTTTCTAAAAAAGCCCATAAATATGAAAAACAGATTCAGATAAATTCTGTAGCAACTCTTCGGCTTTGAAAAACGTCTTTGATCTTTGACTTGTGAAGAATTACAGATTGAATTTATTTCTGGAAAAGATGGATGATCCAAAGTGGTCAAAGATTGATCTAAAGAGTTTGGGGAAGACAACGCTGATGTCCTCAGAGGCACTCACTTGCCAGCTATCTAGTGGCTGTAGTGACTTGCTCGGCATACTCTGTATGATAAAAGGCCCACCACCATCTGTAAGGAGCTTCTGACCACTGGAGAGACTGTAGGCTTCTCAGAATCAAGCAGGAGTTGCAGTTTTCAAAGCACACAAGGACTTGCTAGCTGAATTTCTACACTAGGAACTCTCTATTGAAGAGTTAATGAAAGTGGTCCATGTCCAATAAAACAACTTAAAAATCAAGCACATCTAAAGCTCTGTGAAATGAAAACTATGTTCAAAAAGTACGTCTTTTTAAATGTATAAGAAAATCTGAGAATTGTAAAAGAAAATGAGAAAGTCCTGGGATCTAAACATGAAAATGATTTGTGTTAAAGGATATTTAAGTGTAAATTATTTGAAGATTTACAGGAGAATGATTCTGTTCTCATTTTGTCTTTTTTTTCCTATGTTCAAAATGATCTGACTCAGACTATTTCTATTGTGAGTGGGTAGAAGAGGTTTCATTTCTCCTCTCCAAAGCAGCCTCTGGACACTGTGATATATTCAAAACAGGATTCAGTTCGAACATGGACACCCTGTGTTTGAGAATCAATTATCAGCTGATTGAGAACAGCTGTCATTAGCAAATGCTTTATGGAAGACATCAGGATTGAGTGTGACCTCAAGAACTGGTCCAGGTTATACTCTCCTATGTAGTCATAGCTTGTTTTTTTTTTTTTTTTTGTTGTTGTTGTTTTGTTTTGTTTTGTTTGTTTTTTGGGGTTTTTCTACAAACACTATAACTAGATTGCAGTACACAAACCAATTGCAGGACAATGCTATGAAATATTCAGCAAAACTCAGGACTCACGTGCCATTCCCATCATTGGAGGGGATACTTAAAATGTTTCCTCTAAGTGCAACTACTTGAGAATGAGAAGGATCTCACATGATGAATTAAAATTCACCAAATTGGCACTTCAGCTGAATGAGTAAGAGGAAAAATTTCTAGAAGTGTGGACTGTACATAAAAGAGACACTGTTTCATTCTTCCCCAGAAATAATAACATCTTTTACATATGCCATCTCTCTCTGAGGAGCTTTAAGTACTTTATCTAATTAATCCTCCCAGCTTCCCAGAGAGGTAGATAGGGGGCAGGTATTATTATATGAATTTAGCAGTTGTAGAAATTAAAGTGTCCTGATTAAGCGACTTGGGTAGGAGGCAGAATTTGCACTTAAATAAGTGAGCTCTAAATGCTCTGCTATTTGAGTAAAAACAGCACCTACAATGTATATTAAATCTGCCTTCTATTAATCCATCCTACATGTAGTCTGGGCAAAAAATTCTTTAGTCTGCCTGGATACAAAGAACAAAATAACTGCAACTGAAAATATGATTGTGATTTCCACAATAGCTTCTGTACCCAGGAGGCTAGAGGTTATTTTTATTAAACTATAAATAAGTTTTTTTGTATTTTTTAAATTGCTATAGTGAATTTAGCATTATTTTAACAGTTGTACATGCATTGTACCAGAATAAGAATGTCTGTGGGGCTGTGGAACTTTGCAGGAGGGGGCAAGAGGAAAATTGTATTTGGACCAGGTAATTAGACACTTACAGCAAGACATGTGAAAGACAATAGGTAATGCCTAAAGTCAGGGCCTGACAGAGGGACCCAATACAGCAATCCTCTCTCCTACCTAATTAAACATGTCTTCTTTTTCTTGCTGCAGAATCCCAACTTGTGGGAATGTTAGTTTTTCTCTCTTGTGAGTTGCAGCACTTCCATTCCCATTATGGAATTTCATACCTATTGTGGGGTGGGTACGTGACTTGTGCCCAGTGACACACACTGTCACTTGTTGTGCCCTGCTATAGACCATCTAGTTAAGCACCTTTGACCCTCAACAAGTACCATAGAGTCCCTTAATCTGCTTACTTTGCAGGTCTTCCTGGACTGTCAGGACCAACAGTAGCCATGAGTGAGAGAGACACAGGGGGAGCGACAGGAAGAACGACTCAGAAGGACACTAATGACATCGAATTACTGAATAAATTGATCCTGGTACTGTTTTATCTTGGCACACTCCTTCTATGCAAAAGAGAAGTGCTCCTTGTAAACGTGTTGCAGGTAACGTAATATATTGGGCTCAGAAATACTTATGTGTCATTGTTTTTACCGGAGCTGGGTGGAAAAACATTCTCTGCACTTTTCCTTATGTAACCAACATGGAGCAAAAGGCATATCAGGGTGAAGAGGCTGGTGAAGACGCAGCGGCAAGAGTATGACGCACAGTCACAGAGCCTGCACATTACATCATTGCCCACTTTAATTCAGATCTCAAAGTTAATCTCCATAGTGTCATATGGCCCATCTCAAGGTTTGCCTGTGAATGCACCGACTTAGTCAACACAGTTGGGCAATGTTCTGTTTTTGTTTTTGTTTTTGTTTTTGGTATTTTTCCGGTACCAGGAATCGAACTCATGACCTTGCACTTGCCAGGCAGGCGCTGTGCCGCTGAGCTAAATCCCCAGCCCCCCGGCAATGTTCTCTATTGGTTTATCTCATTGTCTTGTCCATGGGATGGAGCCCACATGTGGATAATTACCTAAGATTTAAAGTTCTACTTGTCCAGTTACCCAAGCAGTCATCATAGCCCTGTGAAGCAAGCATGCACAAGTCAAAGGCCCGAATAACACATTTCACATCCAGGGTGAGTCCTTGATTCTGTTCATCTCATGTAGCTCTCATACCAGGTAAACGAAACCTAGCTTCCACTCAGGCTAAACAAATATCCAACAACTTGTACATAATAAAGCAGCTCATTTTTTTCTTACTGAAAAGTATACAACAAATGAAAATAAACTACTTCATTTCTTGTGCTTGGAAAACAAAATGGCTAAGAATTCATTCACTTCCAATTTTAGGTTCCCTGGACAAGGTACAAGGGGATGGAAGTAAAGGTCACGAGGGTGAAAGGCAGCATTTCAATAAAATCAGGATCAGAACAAAACCACAATAACATCAAAAAGAAAACAATGCCAGAAAGGCACAGGGACAAATATGGCACGATGGCTCAGTCTCCAGTGAGGAAATTTCTAACCAAGTCTACAAGTTCTTGCTCATTCCCGTCGTGTGCCTAATCCTGAGCTAATGTTTTCATAACATTCAAAATTACACCAAACAAATATGCACAATTCTCAAAATCACCACGAGAGACAGAGGTCCAGGCACTGAAAGCAATTCAAAAACAAGAAGTTGTGGCCCCTGTACTCCAAAGGTACAAAATGTAATTACAGAGATAATACATAGGCATATGAAAAATATGCATAAAATGCCAAATTAGTGAGAAAAAGTGCGTAACAAAAAGGATTAATAGTAATTAAAGAATTCACAAAAGCAACAAAGCTGTCATCCTGGGGCAGTATTAAATAAATGGTAGCAATGCAGGCAGTAGAGGCAACTGGACTGTGTTTAAATCCTAGTTTTGTCTTAAGAGCTGCATGAAAATGAGCTGGGGAACTAACCCTTCTGTAGAAACATTTGCTCATCTTCAACTAGAAAACAGACCAAGCTGTGAATTTGGTGAAGAGGAGTAGAACTGATAATATTTAAGAAAGTGCTGAGACTTTGCAAGACCGTGTGATAAAGGACAATACATTAATAAGGTGAGTAATAATGAGTTGAATAAAAGATCTCCATAAATATAGTTAATGCTTATTAAATGCTTGTGGTAAGAAGGCCACTCTGCTGAAATTGTCACCTTTAATTTTCACAAGGACCTGAACCTCTAAGGTCAGGTGACCTGCAAAATAGGAGAGGTGGGAAAATTATTCTAGCTATGAGAATCAAGCAAGGAAAGTTTTTTGGAAGAACTTCATGGAATGGATGGGTCAGAAGAGAGGGAAGGTGTTAGTATTACTGGAAGGGAAGCAGTGGTTCAGCACCAGGAAGTCAAAGTAACAAGTAAACATTGTTGTCAAAGGAATCATCAATCATTCTAAAGTCAACACATTATCATAAAAAAAGGATGAGCAGAAGCAAATAATTGTACCAGAGGACTAAGTGTTGCAAAGAACTATATCCTCACAAGAAGAGTAGCCTGGCAAAGTACCTTAAATAAGAGAGTCTGAGCACTGATTTTGCTATATTTTACTTCAGGAAAAATTTACACATTGGATCTGCTGAAGTAAGTAGGTTAAATAAATAAACAAACAAATAAATAGATAAATAAATAAATAAATAAACAGGACTGATTTTTTTTCACATTTGCGTGTTTAACCAAGCAGAGAAATGATATCTGCTCATCAAATAATTATTTATTAATATGTCAATTTGAATAATTTACAAATTACTGCTCTCAGATTGTCTAACTGCATCTCACCACCCCATAATCAACAGTATGTGACATAGACATCAACATAACATGTTATTGCTTCCCCTTGCCAATTAATTCTCTTCCTCATATCAGTGGTCCAAGGGGGTGGGGCCACCCTGTGGGGTCCCTGTGCTTGATTTTCTCTGTTTAGAAAAGTCAGAAGTTACTCTCTACCCAAGGCCTGAGAGTAGATGGCCTGAAGAACTTCACATGTCATTTGAATTTCTCTCCCCACCTCTCAGAGATTCATCCTTTTCAGTTTGTGTGTGGTTTCTGTTTTTGTTTGTGGGTGGTTGTTTTATTGTACAGAAGGGTTTCTTCTGTGTTTTCTTCCTGCTTTAGGAATGTTACCAAGAGTGGTGGCCTGGTTCATAGCGATATTTTTTAGTTATATTTTGTTAGCTTGTCAGAGCCTGTTAGGCAAGGTGTCCTGGGGAAATTAGAATTTATTATTGTCATTATGAAATTCTGAAATGAAGACCACCTTGCAAAACAACTGCATTATAAACGTGGTGTGTCGTCCGATTACCCAATCAATTGGCCAGTACAGGAGACAGTTATTAGTCTGTTCTGTCTGAATATAACTTCCTCTGCCTAATGTGATGGAATTAATTCATACAACCTGATAACAAGGCTATTACAATGCGAACAATGGTTTAAAAGTGGCTTGCATAGAACAGCCAGGCACCATTGAACATTTCAGATCAAAGGTCTATTGAACAGAAAGAACAAATAGAATCAATTTCTTGAACTGTTTCTGCATTTCCAAACTTGCAACATTATACCACAGAATGCGATTTAATGAAGTACAGATGAGAAGACCAGAGAAAAGCTAGCTCTAATACAACAATGAAAATTAATGGAGTACTCTGGATTCTTTTTTTCTTCTGTGGAAACAAACTAGTTATAAAATACAGCTTTACTCTTGTGCAATTTCAGACTTTGAAGCCAACCAGATCTTAGATAACTCCATTTACTCAGAGGTAACAAGCAGTAGAGATGTCCATTTGCCCCTTTTCATGTAGATGGAAAAAAATGTATGTATGCTATGTAATGTATGTTTAAACAAAAGAGTACCAATGAAACAAAATACCCCTCTAACTGATAGAGCTAAGAAGAGATACACAGGGCACTTTACTTAAAATTCTGAGGTGGAAGAGTGACCGCAATTAAATGGATGGTGAGTGACTAGGGGAAGGAAGCTTTATTTTTGCAAAGCTAAGGTGTAATAAAGGTTACTTGTCAATAACAATGCCATAGAACTGCTGGAGTTTGAGAAAAAGGTACAAAATATATTTATTTGGTAAAAATATTGAAGGTGTTCTGAACTAGACTTTGTTCTAGATTTGGTGAGTCATTACAAAAAAGATTAGTAATAAGTAGAAAACTAATTAAATTAAACTTTATAAGAATAAAGCATAGAAGTTAAATATTTCAAATGATTAACATTTAAAATAAGTTGAAGAAGTAATTTTTAAACTTAACTAAGATTACAAGAAGAGATTTATAAAACCTAGAAATGAAATGAGTAAAACTTTTACATTTTGAAATATGATTTTTTGAAAAATGTCATGCAATATACATTTTAAGAATATGCATTGTTAATTTTAAATTGTGATATATTTTGTATAATTAGAAAATGGTCCATTCATATATTTATAGTAAGAAGTGGAGTTACCAAAAGCATCTTATACTACAAATTAAAGTAGTCATTGTCAAACATCAATAAACTATCTGCAGATACATATCAGATACCGTTAAAGATTGTTGCATTATTTTAATGCTTTCATTTGTTTACTTAAAAGTATTTTTATGTGAGATGTTAATAACTTAGGATGTCAGTGCAGTCATACTTTAAGCAGCATTTTAAAAAATGCAGTATATACAAATAGGAATAGCGTGATTGTGTAAGAACAGCCTACATAATTTGCTTATCCTAATCCTTAATTTAAAAAGTACCAAAAAGTCATATAAGAACAGCAAAATAATAGATTGCTAAAAATCTATAGAGTACTTGCACACATGAAATAAAACAATAACACTGATATCATGTTTCTATTGCCAGACCTTGAAATAACAGTGCAAAAGCACAAGGACAAAGTTGCCATTTTCTATGACTGTGTTTAAGTGTAAACAATGTATACACATAGCTTGATCTAAGGAGGAATTTGTACTTACGTGGTGGTAAAATACGTGCTCAGTTAATACATTTGAATGGTGCATGCATGAAAACACAGAAATCAATGTGTTCCAGACTGACAATATTTGTCAGTGACTCTCTTGAAGATTGATAATACCACCCTTATGTAGATTAAAGATCATCTGGATTGGAATTAGCAGATCATGTGTTCCTAGACCTTTTAAAGACAGTAACTACAGGAAGAAATGAACATTAAGAAAGAGCCTCCTAAATCGTCCTTCCTAAAATGCTTGGCCTGTACTGGCCACAGAAGACCAGTCATTCTCAGACAGAACTGCTGGCAGCAGAGCAGGATTCCTCACAGCCCCATCCCAAACCATCTCATCCACCATCGTTGGAGGAGCCAATAAGTCTCTCAGGGGAACAATAAAGCAAGATGGACGTGATACACAAAATCAGCAATGACTGGAGATTTAAATGAATACAATAAGCATGGAATTCTTCTAGGGAATTGTGGGTTTGTTCCTAAGTTTGAGGAATAAAAAAGATTTACAAACTAGAAAACCCATAGACTGAAATAAAAATAAATTAATTGAATTTTTAAAGTAAAGGGATCACTTTGTAATGAGTGGAACATGTA